AGAATTGGGTAATCCTGTTTTGTTTTCTTATTGGTATCAGTTTTTCAGTGGTCTAAAAGCTTGTGTCAGCCCTTACATTTGGGCAATTAAAAAGTACATGGAAACTGTTGCTTGAGCTGTCTTGTAGTTGTGTTCCTGAAAATGAAAAGGCTCTCTGAGAAGACTGTTTTACTGAAGGAGACAATACACACATATGAGCAAAACTCATACTTTCTCCCCTTCCCCAATCTCCAAAAGCCACATGTCATATCAGTCATTTTAGTCTGGTCTAAAGGAAGCCAGTACACAAACTCAGGCCTTGTTCCTGCAAACATTTACACATTTAACTTTTAAACTATATTTGAGGTCAACAAAAGTACACAAATCTAAGAAGCAATCTATGTATAGAAGTATTAGCAGGCATGACAGAATGAGAGGGGCAGACTCCTCTTAGCTCTGCTGGAAGAAAGGAAGGAAGGAATGGTAATTTACAGTATTATCTACTGTTTTCTGTTATGAGGGTGCAGAATAATCAGAAATGACCTTCAGAGAAGGGGTTCCAGGGATGAAAATGAACTGTGCCCTTTCTCATCATCTTTGACTTTTTTTTTTTGTCAAACCAAATTTTTTTTCTGCTTGTTTTTACAATAGGAATTCAGGGTGCCATGTGCTCTACTTTCTTTCTTCCATCTGTGCATGGTGAGAGACCAGTAGAAACACTACAAAGATATATTAGTTAAATTAATGAATTGCATTGGCACATACTGTAGTTTAATACTGAATGAACGTATAAGAAATCTTTATTAAAAGTTTCTGTGTCTCGTTTCCTTGATGTAGATAGTTAACAGGTCATATCTGAGACCTCTTCATTGTCTTCCAATAAGCAGCTAAACTAAGAAAGGTGCAGTAGGCAAAGGGAAAACAAATAATCTGTTAAAAAAAACCCCAACCCTCAAAAAGGTTTTTCTATTTTAAGGACGAGATAAAGCTCCAGCTTTTCAAATGCCTAACCTGGCCTGTATAGAAAACTTTGTTTAAAAGAACCAACCAGGGAAGGATGGGATGTAAACCACATGGAGGAGTTTTGTTTACACAGAGCTAACAAAGATGCATCTCTTTTTTTATGATCCCATATACAAGACCTATGGTTGAAGCTGAAAGGATTCTTGGGGAGGCAACACTGAAACCCACATTTCCCTCAAGAGAACCTAGGTATATCCAAAATTCAGTTTAAAGTTATGCTCTTTTTGTTTTCACTTAGTCTCTCTCTGAGTTAAGTTCATTTCTTTCAGACTTGATTGAGGAAAGCCAGGCTGTCTCCTCTTTATGCTGGTTGCTTCTGCAGAGATTGATTGTTAGTGATTTATAATCAGCCTTCCACAGGGAAAATTTCATATATTTATCATTATATAACCAGAAAATTAATGAAAAAATATTTATACAGCTTGTAATTGCTTACATTGTTTCTAATTGCTCATTTATTTAAAGAAGGGATTTACATTAGTTATATTATCATCAATTTTAATAAGCCTAACCATAAAAAATCACCAGTTAGATCTTAAACTAATGAGATTTATTCAAAAATAATGAGATTTCAGACATTAATAAATTGGGATTTGACCTCTGGGGTATTTGTCAATGTGTACATTGAAAATTTCAAAACTGTAAAAATGGAGTGAAAAGAAAACTTGGGGCTATCACATGACTAGAAATACAAATCTTAAATTGAGACACTGAGTGATAGGATAAAAACAAAATGTCTCTTTCTATGGCTTTGGGCACACTTCTATATTTCATCCAGAGTAAGAAAAAAGCTTTCTTATATCAAAGAGGAGTAGGTACCAGATTTAATATATAATTATCTGATTTACAATTGAAATAACTTATTCTACTCTGTATGACAGCATCATTTAAGTATCTCGGTAGTAGTGTTCTCTGTAGACAATGCTAGAGCTAAGCTGCTGTCAGCATTTCAAAACTAAAACCTTTAAACAAAGGTTGTGACTGATCTCTGAAAGTTTCTCTAAGATAAATTGTTGCAGAGAGCATATTTCTGGATGACAAAAAAAGTGATCTGGCTGTTTTGGAGACTGGCAGACAAAGTTATTACACAGTGTTGTGCATAACTGGAGTTCATCAAAAAACCCAAGAAGGCGCTGTCCAAAAATATAAATTTTTCATAACGGCAGTATTTTTTTTTCTTTTTTAAAATATTTTTCTTTTTATTTTCCTTTTTTTTTCTTTTTTTTTTTTTGCTATGGATCAGTAGTCCTTGATTAAACTGGAATCCACTTGGTGTCCTTCCTTTTCATAATATTTCTTCAGTAGTTTAATACTGCCCCTCCCTCTGTGTTTTCAAAATACTAGCTAAGGTTTAAATTGCACAACTGTCTTTGATTGCAGCTTTGAATTTGTGAACCAGCTATGCCTACTGTGGTGGAAGAAATACACTGAACTCTTATACTTACTGCTAACTGCAGGTGCAGGAGCCTTTTTGTCATTTGGTCAACAGAGTATCTCTCACCAGTGATTTCAGTCTATGTGTGCAATTATGGAATATATGCTGCCTGGTTATGAAAAGACACATCTTAAGCAATACCATCGGCTTAATTATAATAATTAGATTTTTTTTTTTAAACTTAGTATTTGGAACATGTAACACAGAATCATAGAATCATAGCATGGTTTGGGTTGGAAGGGATCTTAAAGATGGTCTAGTTCCAGCCCCCTGCCAGCAGTAGGGACACATGCCACTAGACCTGGTTACTCAAAGCCCCATCCACATGGGGCAACAACAGCTTCTCTGGACAACCTGTTCTGGGGCTTAAGCATGCTCACAATAAAGAATTTCTTCCTAATACCTAATCTAAACCCACCCTCTTTCAGTCTGAAGCCATTACCCCTTGTCCTGTCACTACAGGCCCTTGTAGAAAGTCTGTCTCCAGCTCTCTTGTGGTGCCCTTTAGGTACTGGGAGGTGCTGTAAGGTGTCCTTGGAACCTTCTCTTCTTCAGGCTGAACAACCCCAGCTCTCCCAGCCTCTCTTCGTAGAAGAGGTGCTCAGGCCTCCTCTGATCATCTTTGTGGCCTCCTCTGGACTCACTCCTGAAGGGGCACATCCCTCTCATGTTGGGGGCCCCAGAGCTGGATGCTGGGCTCCAGGTGGGTCTCAGGAGAGCAGAGCAGAAGGGCAGAATCCCCTCCCTTAAACTACAGGCCACACTGCTTTGGATGCAGCCCAGGACAGAGTTGGCTCTCTGGGATCTGAACACACATTGCTGGATCATGCTGAGCTTCTCATCCACCAACATCCAAAGCCCTTCTCCTCAGGGCTTCTCTCAATCCATTCTCCACCGAGCCTGTATTTATGTTTGGTATCACTCCAATCCAGATGCAGGACTTTGCACATGGCCTTGTTGAACTTCATGAGGTCTGCACAGTCCCACCTCTCAAACCTGCCAGGGTCCCTCTGGATGACATCCCTTCCCTCCAGTGTGTCCACTGCACCACACACCTTGGTGTCATTGGCAAACTTGCTGAGGGTGCCCTTGATCCCAATGTCTGTGTCACTGACAAAGCTGTTAAACAGTGCTGGTCCCAGTGCCGAGCCCTGAGGATGTCTCTCATCACTGGTTTCCCCTTGGACACTGAGCCATTGACTGCAACTCTGAGTGTATCCATCCAGCCAATTCCTTATCCACCCCGTGGGCCATCTGCCAAATCCAGGTCTCTCCAGTTTAGAGACAAAGATGTCATGCGGGACAGTGTCAAAACATAATCTGATTATATGTATTAAAAACATTTATTTTTTTTCTTCTCCTACCTACCATCTCTTTGGTCTCTTCAATTCATGTGTCAACAAGGGCATCAAGGCTTTTCATCTGAAGAACTGTGCTGATTTAGATACTCTATAAGCAAATTGTGGTCCACATAAACAATGGTAGGATACTGTTTCAATTTTTTAACTCATAGTTACCTGACATTGTTGAGGTAAAAGAGGTTGATAACTTCAAGTTAATTTTTCAAACTGTAAACATCATATATGCAAATACATATACTTAGGATTTCTGTGCTCTAAAATGGAACATTAATTCAGATATACTCTTCAATCTCTAGTTTTGTCAGGGAAATGTCAAGATTTAGACAAGTAATCTAAGAATTTATTTCTCTTTCTTTGTATCCATGTCTGTTTATATCAGGAAAAGAATGTAATTCAGCATGCTAACATTGTTCATTTGACAGGATCACTAAAGCAATGAATTTTTTCTTAGTTTAATTTTCTAGCCTAGTTGGGACACTAAACTTTCCATATTGGGTTTTACATAGGAAACTAGAAAACATTATTTATATAGAACATCATTACTGGGCAGAAAGTTCTGCCCAGGTTCTGTCGGTTTCCCCTGCCTCAGTTTATAGGATCCGTATTTCTGCACGTTTTCCTGTTGGTGCATTCTTCTCACCTGTGTTTGTGTGCATTTATTTTGTGGACAGTTTTCAGATGTTAATCACTCTGTGGCAAAAAAAAAAAAAAAAAAAAAGAGGAAAGGCTGATCAGTGTTTTCCTTTGGTCAAATGACTTTCAAGTGCTTTCTTTGCTTTCAAAAAAAACATGTATTTGAGCTCTTTGAAAGATGATAGTTTCGCTAGGAAATGTCTGAAGCAATTGCAGATACCACCAGAAAAATGGATCTCATTTAACTTTTACATATGCAATGCAGATGTTGGTGAATAAGATGAGTCACCCAGGGCTTCCCTTGGTGGTCAGTGTAGCAGAACAGGTAGGTTTAGGGCATGAATCACCCAAAATATTTTAGATAAGGATTCATTAAATTTTCTAGGTACACCAAAGGATCTACTTGTTCTACTGGAAGAGTAAGTGGAAGTGTGGCAGTGAAACTGAATGTCCAGTCTGGGAAGAGTGAGCAGAGAAATGAACCATCTGTGCAGGAATTGCAACAGTTTTATTACTCATTTTCAGGAACCCTATAAACTATGTTATAATAAATCACAATCTATGCAATAATTTATATTTACACTGCTAAGAATTTTGCACACAGACTGCATGAAAAAGTGGCTGCATAAAAATCATGCCTTGCTGTTTCAGGGATTGAAAGATTGATGCATCTTTACTGGAAAGAAAGTGTTAAAAAGTTTCTTTGAAAATTGTAAAGAATGTTAAGAAAGAGCCCTGCTGAACATTGACCTGAGACCATTTGTCTTCCATCTTTACAGCATCAGCACTGGAATTTGCATTACCTGACTTAAGATGTCTGCAGTTCTGATGTCTGCATCTGACATGGAGTCAAAGTGGAGCTGGTAACTGACAATCCCAGGGTTTAAAGATGTGGCTCCATGAAAAACTCTGCTGTCAGCCTGCAACAGCTGACACTGCAACACCAGAGTACACTCATGCAGGGCTACTCAGCCTGACACAACCCAGCTTCACCAAGTGTGACTGTACAGGGTGGAGCCACACCAAAATGTGATGTCACCCTGTGCTAACTTGCCCTGCACTCCTCTGTCCAGAATTTTTCCATTTGATGCATTAGGATCAATTTCACACATTTCTCTGTTGCACAGTTTTTATTTTCTTTTTCTATTTAACAAAAACCCATACTTTGCAGCTTTCTGTCATCAGCACAAGATCTGTAAAAGGTAATGTACCTTGCATTTCTCATCCGCATATCTTTCATATACATGGAACTGAAGTAAGTCCTTCTAAAATGATGAGTCATGATAGGAAAAGAATGATTTAATTTTGAGGAGCAGGAAAAAATCACACTATGGAATAATGCTTCTGGCCCTAAAAACCACTGCACCAGGATGTGAAACTGTTTTGCAGGTCTTGTATGACTAGCACTGGATGAAGAAATTCAGAGTGAAGAAAGCCACATAAATGAAATTGCCTGCTGAAAAGGTGCTGGCCCTGGCCTTCATCAAAGAGACACCAAAGTGAGAGCCACTCTGATGACAGATAAACAAATAGCATTTATGCTCTAGAAGTTAGCAAGCAAAGCCAGCTTGCCAGACAGTAGGCAATCAATTGGGCTGGAAAATCCACAGTGAACACAGTTGTTGTGCAGGTCTGCAAGATCATCAAACATCTACTTTCTTGAGATTATGAATCAGGGTGGTGCCTGAGGAACAGAGGAATCTGAAGCGGGGGATGATGAGGTTGTGGTAGGGAAATAGGTTGGGCGCATCCTGAGTCTGCATCCTCTGAATACAAATGGGCATATTTGTCCATGATGTAAACCTTGGCTGATCAAGGAAGATATACTCACAGGAAACATTTTTCTTTGACTGTTTTTTATTGAAGGGTGGATAGTGAAACTTGGCCTTCCCAAATGCAGAAACCAAAGAGATTCAACTTTTGTTTTAGCAAATGCAAGATGAATGTAATTGATTTTCTTAAAATTCAGAAGCAACACACCCTGTTAAGCCTGGTCTGAGTGAAATAAGCACGCTCTTGTGACTGCTGTGTACTTTTAGTTCAGGTTTTGTGAGGCCTGCTTTAAGGAACAGGAAAAGCATGGCAGTAGGTTGGTAAACTGAGTAGGCAAACATCTGGTCAGTTTCTATGGCATTGTTTGGTTAAAGGAAACACAGGATCCCTTCAGAATTGTGTTCTCAGGAGGGTTATTTGCTGATAGTCAGTTTTCCCATTATTGACCTTGGAAACAATAATCGGTTTCAAATTAACTACATTCATTATTGAATTCTCCTTGGTTTGAGGTCAGAGTCCAGAGGCTAGAGAAGGGTTTGGAAATATCCAGGAGCATAGAACACACTTTGGAAGCAAAGTGAACATGCAGCACCGATGCAGGGTACGTCTGGGGAATCCTCCTCTTGCTGCCACCCACACGATCTCAGCGCACACTTCTAGGAGGGGATCTGCAGAGCAAAAGACCTTCCAAATCAAAATACTAACGTGTATGCACTCCCTACTCAGCCAGAACATTCTCTCTGAATTCCCTCCCCCTCTTTTCCTGCAATTAGAAATTCATCACTTCAGGCCCTGCTCTCTTTTCGAACTGCCAAGGAGCACGGTGCCCTTGCCAGGGAGCGCAGTGCCAGAGGACGAGTGGCAGGAACCACCCTGCCCGCACTCAGGGAGTACAAGGTTGGACTCGATGATCTCAGAGGCCTTTTCCAATCTAATTGATTCTCTGTGATTCTGTGACAAGGAAAGTACAAGGCAGATGGGGCTGCCTGGAGCTAGAGATGAAGTGTATGGCTGTTAAGGGCAGCTAGGATTGAGGAGGGGGCTGGGAGTCAGAACTGAGGACGAGGGTGTGTTACAAGGACGTGTGGTCAAGCTTGTGTTGGTACAAGGACATGTGGTCAAGCTTTAAATGAAAGTGCTTCTACAGAAACGTCTGCTTTTCAGTCAGCATTGTCATTACAAACCTATTCTTACGCTAAAGAAACTGCTGGGGTTTGGCTGCTGCTAACATTAGCATATGGGCACTCAGCACACCGGTAATGTACTCTGCAGTTTTCCATGCTCAGGGAGAAAAGCTGAATTGGTACGGTAGAACAACTTCACAGGAAGTTAATATTGCAATTTAAATATCCTTATTGAAAGCAAGCAAATAAAAAAAAGCAGTGAGTGAGTATGTACGTGATCGAGAATCAGTGCTTTTTGGCTTGATAGATTAATGGGCTAAACCTGGCTTTTCCCAGTGAGCCAGTATGGTTTGTGTACAGCTGCTCAAGAGCTTTACTGGTTTCCCTGGCTGGGTAATCAGGCTGGTAAGGAAGGTGGCGATAGCTGCTGTTCTCAGAGCAGACCGGGAATTACAGCTCTGCAGCCATGGACATCTGAGAAATTCCAAGGAGGAATTTGAGCCTGAGGGAAAGCTTGTTTCTTTTGCTCCACGACTTCTCAACTTGTCTAAAGAGCTGATTGATAACAGATGCACCTATCTGCCTTTCTGTTTTTATTGAAGCATGTTGTTTTTCTGCAATAGGATTTTTCCTGTGATCTCCCCAGGATATTTCTCCCTTTACTGTGTGTACTAATGTTCAGCATTCTTTGTGGAATGAAGAGGCTCTGGAAGTGTATTATCTCTTGTTTAACCCGTTTTTCCCCTTAATCTGCAACCATCCTTCAGCAGTTACAGAGACTGCAGTTTTCTAGGACCTTCCATCAAAGGAGACATTTTTAGATTTTCTTGGTAACAGGAAGGAGAAGGAATTTGGAAATTCCTGAAACTTCTTTCCCTGCAGGAATTCCTGCCCCTTTCCAAACAGCTTGCTCTGGGTAATGGCATTGCTGCAGGGAAGCTAAATTGCTGGGGATTGCCTGTGAGTCCTATGAAAGGGGGAACTGATGTAGTGGATCTTAAACTAGGAGGACTGGAACAGCGTAGTCAGTCTCAAACTCAGTACAGGAAGCAGTGGTTATGACCATTTTAATGTCCTCAGCAGTGACAAAGGCCCAGGTACACACAGTTGTAGGTTCCCAACCATATGTACTGGGATGACCCAAGGGTATATCCTCATGGAGTGAAAAAAAGCTTGGGAACCTAAGAAAATTATGTGGAGGGATTAAAAAGGATCCAGGGGGATGAAAGGGCCATTTTTCTATAAGTAAAATATATATATTCTGAGGAAATCAGGATTTTTTCCTTGTCTGCAAGCTGAAGAAAATCCAGCTACCACTAAAAGCCTGTTCATTTCTTATGCTAAGAGACAGAAGAAAAGGCTGTTCCTTTCAAGTGAAAAAAAAGTCAAGTTCAAGCATTCCAACAAAGGAAAAATCATACCTTTTAAAGTAATATGCAGCAGGACATCCTTGAGCTCCCATCCCCTTTCCTTGATGTACTTGACTTTGTAAATCTGTCTCTAATCCTACCCCGTTTCAAAAAAACATGTGTCTTTCCACACTGAAGCCTGCTCTGCCTTAATATTCTGCACTCTGCTTGCTCTTCAGAGCTGGGGATTTTGATCCATTTCAAGTGTGAGCTGTTTGGGGGTGGGGGTTACATTATTCAGGCAACACAAAAGCTGAGTTTTCACATCAGTTTTGTGGTGGAAATATGGATAGAGATGACAAAGTTAACACTTGGATTTCTATAGAGGATGTATTCATTATGGGTTCAAGAGAGTAAATAAAAAGCCACTCAGCACTATGGCATCACTATGGAGGTTGACCAGCAGAGCATACTCTCTGTCCTCTCATACGCTTGTCATGATGATATCCCAAATAAAAGCAAGTAGATTCAGGATCAGTAGTCAACCTGTAGGTCACAAAAAAAATAAATTATAAGCCCTTCCAAGAGTGCTTGTTGTACCAGAGAAACGAGATACAAACAGCTTTGGCTTCTTCAAATTACATCTAACTTTAGTGGAAACTGTGGTAATTAATGGGCTCTCACATACTAGTACAGAATGACTTGAGCAGGACTCTACTAAAAACTCTGGGTGAGCCCAGTTTAGTCAGGTGTTAAATATGATTAACTGCAGTGGCTTTGGGTGGCTTAACATTTTATTTCCAACACCCAGTTTCTTACAGTGCCATAATATATGAGGCAAGCTGAAGATAATATGGCTATTGTTTTTTTTTAAATGACACAAGAACATTTAATGGAAAATGTTAGTATTATAAAGAAAAAAAGAATATGTATGATTATTAACAATGTATAAGATAATGTAATAAACCTAAAACAAAAGTAGCATTCTTAGAATGAGAGTAGAGTGGTTAATTTTGCAGCATAATTCCAGATGATAATAGGGGGACTATACAAAGGTGGAAAACATTCTGAATACATGCCACACACAGCTCAGGAGCTACACTGGTTCAAAAAATGATAGAGACAACAAACTCCTTATTCTCTGTATTGTGTGCTAAATTTCTTAGAGTCACAACTGGATCTCAGAGAAACCTTAAGTCTGTCAGTGAAATGACAGACTGAATATCTTCCTGTCAAAACCTTACCTCCAATGCAACTTCTTTCAAGCCACAAATTCGGCTTCTGAGCATTTGGTTTGTTTAGATCTCCTGGGGCTTGTGTTCCTTCCTGTACTGATAGTCTCATAGTGAGACTTTATGCAAATGCCTACAAGGTATTTGTGTCTGTCCAGGACACACCTTGGACCAGCTGCTGAGCATTCCTGCATTTTCTGCATAAATGCAGTAGCAGTAGCAGACTCAGGCATTTCACTGAGTGAGATAATGTGAAGGCAGGATCTGCAGTCCCTGGTACAGCACATGTTTATCTGCTTGAACTCAGGGCAGTGAGGAACACATGTGAAACACTCTGGGCCAGGAGTTGACATGGTGTGTTTTGGGAAAAAAGAAGGGTATACCACTCCCGTATTTTTTATCAACAAGGGTGATGGTGCAAGGCAGCCTCTACCAGACAAGAGAGTGCAAGGCTAATGGGACCTGCTTCAGCCTTCCCACCATGGTACCAAATGGTCCTGTTGTTTTGAGCTGCTGAGCACTTTGGAGTTATATTTTATCAAATCTTTTCTGAGACAGAGTGTACTTCAAGTTTGCTCCATGTCTTGACTTTCAGCAGAAAGCACTGTTTCTTTTGCTTCAAGGGTATTTTGTCTTTGGGGTTCTTCTCAAAGGTTTCTGATTCCTGAGCTGGGAAAGACACATCTTCCATCAAACTCTCTCCGTTATACAAGGTTATTCTAAAGGAAAAACAGGGAAGGCTAGGTAATAATCCCATTAATTACAGCCAGATTACATAATTATGGCTGTTGATGTGCTTTCCCAGAATTTGCCCCTACTCTGGGATACCCTTATACAATTCATTATTGGGAGATGAGCTCCTGCCACTTCTTTCTGGTACTTGCCTGTCCAAATGTTTTTATTCCAGTAAATGGAATCTTGGCTAGAAATAGGTGGATTCACGTCTTCACATGCACTCTTAAGTCTCATCTAAAGTTTTTTAATGCTGTATCTAAATTATTTAAATCAAGAAATTAAACTTCTTGCCTTCATATGCTGGTACTGCTATTTTTTATGTTAGCAGGCTATTTCTTTATATATATATCTACCCCTCCCATATATATATATATAGAATGACTTCAGCTTCAAATCCTCTGACTAAGAAAGATATCTGAGTTTGCTATTTTAATCCAGAAATTGTCCCATGGGATCAAATTATTTGATTTGGATTTGTTATAGGATTGCAAATAAGAAACCTCCTGCCAGGATCAGAGTGCTGCAAAATATTTGCATTCCTAAGACATTGTGGATTGCCTAGGTGGAGCTTCTACCAAGTATTAAGCCACTTCTGAACTCTCTAGTTGTGATGATGTCTTTGGGAAGACTGTCATTTAGTTCTTAACTATATTAGAAATTTGGGTGGCTGAAGGCACAGCATGGGATTACTTGCCCACCACGTGGCCATGGGCACTGGCAGGTGCTCAAATACACATTATTGCCTGTGGGTTTTGCTTCTCCAGATCTACTGCGCTTGTCCACAGCTCCACAACTCAGCAGGACAGTCAGTTCTGAGGACTGTGTGATTCAGGCGAAGGGAAAGGGAAGAGCAGACCTTTACAATGGCATGTAAACATGCAGAAGGCATGTAAAAGTTACACCCACAAAGTCAATGTACTGATAGAAGCATCAAAGCAGGTAAGCAGCCTTACCCACGTTAATGCAATCTTATGATTAGAAAAAGATAATAATTTTATGTGTTATGTATTTTTGCATTCTATATATATTTGCATATAGCAATGATTTCTTGCTAGGTTTCTTAAGGAAAATACTTTTAAAGTAAGAGTTATAATTTTGAAATATATTGTGTAATAAAAAAAAATTGTGATTAAAGGAATTTAATATCAGAAATTATAAATTTATTCTGCTGTTTTACTTGGCTTCAAGTTGTATCCTTTCAAATTGCCACCAAAGGGCATTCAGGAGACCTGGCTACAGCTGGAGGCTATAAGCACCCCTCAGTGTGGCACATTCCATGTCACACAGCATGGGAACAACATAATAACTTACAGCCTGACCCTCCCAGATATCCTGCAGATTCATTTGGCCCTGCTCAGTAGTTTTTTTGGTCTTCCTTTTGTTTTATTTGGCAAATGAAGGCATCCTAAAGCTACTTAAAAACTGCACTATTTTTCACTGCAGTGCAATTAGATAATATTAAGAAAAAATGGCCTTATGAGATGATAGATACTCATCTTTCATGCTTATACATTGAGTCAGGATGCATTCTACTTCATGCTGTAGATTATGATAAAATTACTTATTTTATTAGAGAGAAATTTATAGGAATATCCCATCAGTGAAAGAAAATCCTGTAGAATGCTATAAATGTGCTTGCACAGTGGTGGGGGGGTACCTGCTTAGCATTATTGATTTTCCAATCAATATAGCAAGTATATTACACAAGGCTGTGTGCAGTCACGGCTTTAGCATGGTTTAGATCTGTTTACACTGGTTTAGCTGTCAGCAGGGCAGCAGATGGATGTTTCCTTCCCAACACAGCTGGAACTGATGAAGATCCAGCACCTCATCACTTGTCACCATCCAGCAGCAGGTTACTGCACCCACACCTGTTGCGCTGGCACTCTTTGGATCATCCCCTTGGATACCTCACTGGAGGTTGCTCACCAGTCTCACTGGCACCAGGGACCTATTTGGAGTCAGTCTGGCAGAACTCTGGCCATAAAAGGCCTTTTGCAAATGGTCAGTGATAAAGGCCTGGGGAGAAGTAATGACTCTGAATGGAGCAAATGTTTGCAAACTTAATTTGTGCTTATGGTGTAAATGTATAGTCATAAAGCAAACAGATAAAAATAGTTCTAAGTCGATGTAAGAGAAACCACACACAAAGTTTGAACTTGTTGGGTTAATAGCACATGAAATAAGTCCACTTAGCTTCTGTACATAAGAAATAGGTCCTGAAGGGGATTTTACATGACTTGCCTGCTGAAAGCTCTGCAGTGGTCAGGGCACAGCACTTAGATATGCATTTTACATGATCAGTTTGAGCTGGGAAATCAAATTCCCCACATTCTGAGGCTTTCTTCCATATTTTATGTTTATTTCTGATATTGTTCCTCATATATATGTGCAGAACTTCTCTATTAGCCCCTTTCTCTGTGAAAGTGTATTATGTGCTCTGTTGCCCGACCAATAGGAGCTACAGTCACTGCATATTATTTCCTCATCAGTAATTTTCCAAATTTACTCCTATTTTCAGTTTATTCAGAATTTGTATGACCACCAGAATTTCAGACATTAAGTTCTTCTGAAACATTTTTGACACTAGATGAATTTTTCTACCATTTCAGGGACCTGACATATTTTCAATGCAATCCAAATTATTGCCAGTCATAAATAAATTCATTAGGAATGCCACTGAGTTCAGTGCATGTCTTTGTCTTCCTTCCATAAAGGTCATGTCAAGGTGAATTTGTGTCTGGCTTTTTTTTTTTTTTTTTTTTTTTTTTTTTTCCCCCCCTCACTTTTAGTGTGTTTTGGAAGGGATAAGCATGACATGTGGTATCAATACACAAATGATATCAAGGAAAAGAGATTATACAGAATAGAAAGCATGCAATTTCATCAGGCTTTAGAGCAGGTATCATGTTACCTGCACCGTGCCAAAACCAGTTCTTTTTGCATCTGAATTCAGGTCAGGTACAGCCTAAGATGCTCAAAATGTGAAAAAATAATGCAGTTAATAAAAGCAGAAAATACAGTCAGACATATACTGCCTATGATTCTATCTGTAGATGTTCAAGTAGAAGATCTTTTGTATGCAGGAAGCCCTAAAGGAAGTGAAAATGTTTCATTCAGTAGAATTGTATAGTATAGACCTATGAATACTTTTTTTTTCCTTTCTAATTAATATATAATCCTATTTAGGATTAAATATAATTCTGACAAAAAACTACAATTATATTTGTTTGGGAAATGATGCCTAACTGCTGGAGCAAAGACATTTAACATGGACACATGTTCTGGCTCCTGAAATGTTCTCCCAGTGTGTCTACTAATTTTTGTATGAATCCAAATAAATCAAAACCACTGTGTTTTTTCTGCTAAATGGCCTTGCAGATTTCCCTTGAATATTGTAAATGGTATGGAAACTTCTGAGATCAATATTTTGCATATTGCACATACCTTCCATCATTAAACCTTATTTATAAACTTTGGGGAACTGTATCTATTACATCATCAAAGGATACTTTTCTAGGACTGTAAACCTCAGGAAACAGGGCTTAGGCAAGATGTTGTTTGCCTACCCATCTTGTCAGACCCTCTCTAATAACTTTTGAATCTCTAAGTTTGTTTCATTTACATTTGGCTCAGAAACAGAAAACTTCAGGCTATGAAATTCCTCTAAGTTTTAAGAAACGTAAGAGCTCAGTAAAGGAAAGACTACTTCCTTCAAATTACTACTGTGACTGAAAGGCTGCAGCCTGAGCTCAAAGGTTATTTATTATGTTGAGTTTGCTGGCAGCCAGCACATGCTCAGCTCAAAGGCAGCCACATCCCCTTGGATCTCACCCAGCTGGTAGCTGGGAGGCAGGAGGAGGGAGCTGTGGGCACTGGGGGAAGGGAAGATTGATGATGGGCAGTGAAACTGAGGTGTGGACATGGGGAAATCATGAGGGATGAAGCACAGATCCAAAGAAGCAAGGGCTTTTCACTTCTTAAGAGCAGAAGTTGGTATCTACTTGGGAGTGACTAGAGTCAAAAGCAACACATCAAAATTAAGTAGATTGAAGTGAGCTTAGCACCAAAATGCATTCTAAGTGTAACCAGCACAACGGTCACCGTTTCAACAAATTTTCTTTATCTTAGTTTATCCTCTTTTCCTTAAGCATCCAGTTCACTACATACAATGGTTGGGATTTCGCTACTGACAACAGCTTGGTAATCTGATGCCAGTCTACTGTTATTGTTTCTGTTACCATTGATAGCACAAATATTTTTATTTCAACATGCTTACTTCTATAACAAGCATGCTAAATTTACAGCTCCCAGTGTTTCATCTTATGCCAGAGAATCCACTGCAAGTGATGGACTCAATGGGTTATATGAAGAAAGCTTTGTTTGCACTAGCAGCTATCATTTTGCATTAATAAAATACTACTAATAAAGGAAAGATTAGTACTCAGAGTGCCCACAGTTACCAATTAGATTTGTGACAGCCCTATTAAGGATGTGTGAAGATGATTTTTCCTACTTTATAGCCAGAAGAAATGAAACACATGCAATGCATTTTTTCCAATGCTAACAAAGTGGTTTGAAACAGACTCTGAGTTAAATATGTCTCCATTAACTTACTATTGAAGCTCTATTTAAAGTGTGTACTAAATGCACTTCCTAAAATTTGAGTCTCCTTAATCTGAGATGACAAACAAACAAAAAAAACCCCTTCCATGTTGTTTTTTTTTGCTTTCCAGCAGTCCCAAAAAGCTCATGCATGTGTAGAATCCAAATTCCTGCAGTTTCTTAGAAGCCTCAGGGTTACTGGAGGAGCTTGTTCTACCATAGGTTCAACCATACGCATCAATAGAAAAACTGCAGTCGGGGGAAAATTTTGGTTTGGATGTTATGGTATCAGACTGGGGCTGTGCAGAATCAAATACAACAGCTTCAGATTAAGGAAGATAAGAGATGAAAGCTCAAGTTCGTGTGACACCCCATCACACCAAAGAGAGGTCAAACTTCAGAATTACATTATAAGCTGCTGGTAAGGATTCTGCTGGAGAGTAGAGCTGGGCCCAAGGTGGCAGGGTAGTTTTGGCTTTACTGGCCTCAATTTGTTTGCTTTTTCTGACATGTGGACATACAGAAGGTGCAGGAACTTTCACAGCTGCACTGCCTGCTACCTGTCTGTCACGTGGTGTTCCTCTTGCAGAAGCCACATATGACCTATAGGTTGCCTATGCCTGCATTAAAGGTTGGAAGAAGCAGTACATTTTGTTTGGTTGGTTCACATAACAGGAACTATTACTGGTTTGTTAATCCTTTTGAGATCTTCCTTCCTGCTGGCACCAGCAGATGGGAAAGAGAAAATGAACTGTAACTTCTTCCACCCAGGCCCTAACAAAAAGGATTTGGTTGTTTCCACCTACTGCACTGAAGAAGAGAGCCATGCCAAAGCAATTAGACCAGTAAGATGCATCCCATTTCCTTCTCATTCTTTCCTTTGAGCTTTTCTGTGGGTGGTGGGTTGACCCTGGCCAGCCTCTCAACACTCACCCAGTTTCTCCCTTACTCCCCCTGAGGTGGGATGGGGGAGACAATCGAAAGGGCAAAAGCAAGAAAAAGGCATGGGTCAAGATAAAAACAGTTTCATAAGGCAATGAAAGAAAAAAGATTGAAGAAAAAGAATTAAGTGATGGAAAGGCACTCACCACCTCCCACAAGCAGACTGATGCCCAGCCAGTCTGCAAGCAATGGCAACTTTGCAAAACCTCCCCCCAGTTTCATAACTGGGCATGATGTTACAGAGCATGCAGGACCTTTCTGGTCAGCTCACGTCAGCCTACGTGCTGTGGGGGCAGAGTGAGAAACAGAGAAGGCCTTGATGCTGTGTGAACACTGTGCAGCAGCAGCTTAAACAAGGGTGTGTTATCAACACTGCTTTGGTCACAAATCTAAAACACAACACCACACAGGCTGCTGTGCAGAAAATTAACCCCCTCCCAACCATCACAATATACTACCAGAGGCTACAGGAAACCAAGGGCACTTCATCCTTCAAGGAAACATTAACGTGGAAGTTAAATGTACTTCAGCTTAGGTGCATTGATTTATCACTTTTGATTGTTCTAATTTTACTGAGTCACTGTGGAAAATTGGAGTGAAGGTAAGACAGAGGCAAGTGATAAGAAGTTAGCAACAAGGTCATTCATATTCTGTAGTAAGAGTGATTGTGAATGCATCATCCCCATGCTTCTAGTCTTGTTTCTGCATCTTCTGTGAGGCCAAAGTCACAGTCACCTTTTCCTTGATACTTCATCCAGCCAAAAGCACTGTAGGGATTCGACAATAACATTTTTGAGGTCTGGTAGCAAGGGCTTAAAAAATAATTTTTCTTCAGCAGTCAGAGCTTAAGTCTTTTCTATATATAGCATTAACAAAGGGAATTTGACTCAGGATAATCGTTTTTTGGTCAGTTTCCTCTTTTAGGCTGACTGAAATTTTACTGAGTGCAAATTTTTACTGGTTGATGAACAGAGCTAGTAAAGCTAAGTGATAATTTTAGTAATACTTTAATATAAAAGTTTTCCTAAAGATGGGAAAATATTCTACATTGCATTACAGGTAGAAAACCTTCTCCCCAAAGAAATATAATCATGCAGGACAATGGAACTTCTGGTTTCTGCTCTCATTAGACCATCTGGCTTTCTTTTATAATTCAGACTTGCTCAACTTCTTCAGCATTGTGAGCCAGAAGCCAATGCTGTCATTTCCTATTTGGCTGTAAATACAGTTCTGGAATCTAGATAATTTAGGATTTTGCCACTGAGGCACAGATGGAGTTAGGAAATAATAAAATTATGGTGGAAATAAGAAAACCAGAACTCCTGCAACATATAGAGCCTCTCAGCATAGGAGTTCTTAGTTTTATTTAAATCTAATTCCACCATAGTTACACAAAATCATTCACAGGCAGAAGGAATTTAGCTCTTGGATCACTTGGTTCTTTTGTTAGCATAGCTACTCATATTCTAACAAACTGTGTTACAGTGAATTCCTGTACTGGAACTTTCCCCTGGACCATAGTATACAATAGCTGCAAATGACACAATATTAATCAAATATGTCTTTTGTCTCAATTTATTTTTTACCATTTACCATTCACCTCCCCTCCCCCAAATCATTTATCCTCCCAGCTAACAAATCCAGATGTATTTAGCCTAGTATCTGAAAAGGGCAAGGAGGCAGCAGTAACCCCTTCTGTATGCCTTCTCATCTTCCAGTAATGTGAGTGTTGCAGAGTTGCCAAAACAGTGCCAGTATTTTGTATTTTTCTAGGTTTTGGTTATTCAATCCTGAACATTACTATAATCTTTACTATATGCATTTCAAGATGGTGTAACTAGAAGTGAAAGCAACATGCAAGTAGTGCACTGCACTATAAATGTGTTTTACATTATGTTTTCTTATCCTTTTCCCAAAAAGTTCATCCTTTTCATGTTATTAATCACTTCTGAGCACTGAACCTTTGTTCAGAGAACTACTCTTAGTGACTGCAAAGCTCTTTCTGGTTGACACTAGCTTTTAGAATTCATCATGTCTGTATGACTTTTACCCCCTTGTGCATTATGTTGTTTCATGCTTTGGAATACAGTGCTTTTCAGCCACTGCTCACACACTGTCGTGGAAGCCTCTTGCAGTACTTTTCAATCAGCTTCAGATCTGAATTACTAAATATGTTATTCAAATGTTGTCACATCATCATTTGTGCCTTTCCCCAGTTCATTTATGAACTGTGAACAGCTCAGTGTTAGGTATTAATCCCTGTGTGATAACCCTTCCATCATGAAAACTCACAGTTTACTTTGTCTTTTAACTGTTTAGCCCGTGAACTGAGGGTCCTTCTTATGCCATATAGAATAACAGATACATGGAAAATAAGTCTGGAAAGAAAAAACAAGAAGCCAAATTTTTCATCACATTAATGCTACCTTACCTACAAAATTTCTGACAGAGTTTTACCTGATCTTAAAAATATCTAATGATTTTAATTTTAGTCTAATGATTACACAGTATCTTCAGATAATTGATTATGTAATTGTATTTATCACTCAAAGGTTTTCCCATATATACATATCACTTGGTACAACTGGAGATTTTTATTCCTTGTTCTATGTCTCCTACCCTAAGATAATTTATTGATGCCCTTATGAATGTTTGCTGTTAAAAACCTTTGTAATAGGGCATCACAATCTGATTGTCTAGGAGCAACACTAAATAATAATATATATTCCCTCTGTAAAAATTATGTACATTGTATAGAGCTGTCATCAAATACTGTTCTGTAGCTGTAGCTTGTATTTAGGATAGATTCCGCCAATATAGTGGTATAAAACTTATTATATCCAAGTAAAAAGTTGAAAACCTAAGAGTAGAATTCAAAGTGGTTCAGGTTATTTTTTAGCACAATTCTGTTTCTTCTGTGGGAATGAATTTAACAGCAGAAAGCTATCAGTGCAGTTTAGCTGTATTCTTCTTTATATGCTTCAAGGGTAAGAAAATAAACATCTTTCCTTTTTCATTACATGGAACTATCTTTTCCAGTGCAAAGTTTTGAATTTTCTACTGCAAAGCTTAGAATTACTTCCAAAAACTTTAATGACTGTCAAGGAAATACAGTGGATGGAATATGATGGTGCTAGAATGAGAATGCCAACAATGCAGGAAGACTTAAACCATGTATACCAATGAAGAAAATTCAGTTACACTGACTCTGCAGCTCCAATTTTAGGCTGCTATATTCAGAATCAGAGTTTATGCTTTCTCCATAATTATGGGCAACTTCTACATTTTTTGAAATTCAAGCCTTTCTCTAAATCTCTGCTTTGGAGGTATTGGCTTACCTTCTAAACCAGCTAAACCTCTAAACCAGCTGTCATATTGATTCTCAAATGTGAACACAAAGGCATTAGTTAATAGTATTCTAGTATTCTCTGGCTTGTTTTGTTTGGTTTTTTTTCTTTCTGTCAAACTGAAGCCAGCCCACCATACTGCGTGCTGCTCCCCAAATGAAATAAGCTTGTGCATCTCGTTTCACAATTCACAGTGAGTAAGTGGATATCCTAAGAAAGATATACATGTGGTTACACTGCTTGAGCAATAATGTTGAGATAAAGATGCATAATGATGAACTCTAGCACAGTGAGCAATGCAGAATTATTTAATTTTAATTCATTCACTTTAATCACTATTCTTTCACATTAAAAAAAAAATTACTTTGCTGTCTCACACTGTTTTTTAGTTTCTGAATTCTAAATTACCTTGATTTTGTCAATAAATTCAAGTTCATACTTGCTAGTCTGCAAAGAGAAGGTAGGGAACAGCTTTTGGAAGGATTCTCTTAACATATCTCTTAATATGGAGTAAAGCAGTACAGACTATTCTGGGACCAGGCTCTTGGATTATGCTCAAGAAAAGCAGCACAAGGTTTCTGGTTTAGTACTATTTGGATTATGGTACTATAAAAATGAATTTAAAAAAACCAAACAACAAAACAGAGCTAGCCAAATAATTATGAGTGCAGAAGTCAGCACTCCCTTCTTTCACTCCTAGCATGCTCTCTAGATTTACTGTAAAATCTTGATAGAGCCCCTTAGTTACATACTTTGTTTTTTGAACCAATATAATAACATTAATATTTTTACTATAGGGGTTTAGAAGTTAATTGACATAAAAGATTCCAAAATTCAGAGTTTTACTGGGAATCATAACATATGAACTTACAAGCAACTGGGAACTTTCTAATCCATCCCTATTAGAAATCATCTGGGGTATGCTATCCCACTTTCATTAGGCTCTTCACACTCATACTAATATGCTTAAAAATCCCAAGTATATCTCTACACATTCTGGAACAGGTCTTTTAGTTTTTCTCTGCTTATGTAGAGATGATACTACAATACATATGAGACCTCTATTCATCCTAAGGTTTCTCTGCTTGTATCTCTTGGAATTCTAAGAGCCATCCTTCCACTCTGGAGTGAAGCAACATTGGCTTTAAATGTGACAGACAGAAGTCAAGGCTGAGTGCATATTTTTATTAATATCCCACTCAAAATCTACTGGAAAAAAATTCTATCTTGATCCCTAAGAATCAAAAGTTTCCCATTAGATTAACAAGTAAAAGCTTACAAAGAGAGTGAGTTAAGAAAAGGTGCTACTACTTCCAAATGTGGCCAAGAAAAAGAAATAATCCCACCACCTATTTTTGGTCTCAGTAACAAACGAAGAGAGAATTCTAAGAGATTGCCCATGGAATGAAACAAGCTGGAAAGAAAATAAGAGTATATTTTAAGTGCAAGGCAATCCACAAAGAAGAACAATGTTCTGCATGTATCACTTTCTTGACCCCGATGTGTTAAAAACCAAATTTTTCCTTTTTACATTAGAAATTAATGTCTTGCCTGTGTTGGAGAATTGTTTAGAGATCTGGTGAGGATACACAATTCCTCAACTTTCAGCCTTGCTTGATAAATCTTTCACCCCCTGTGAAACTTAACCACAGTGACTTGAGATTTGGAAGAAACGGTGATTCTAATGAGTGACAATGTGGCATCTTCATTTAGGCTGGCAGGCTGAAAAATGTCCTGCTTGCAATCTGCAAGCCCATAATTTTCTTTGCTAGGGCTACTCAAACTTTCTGCATCAGCACAATTAACAAATGATATGGCATTACGTATTAAAAATGTTGTAGTCATTTCTCATCTGACCACAAACAAAAAATACAATTGATAAAACACTTTAAAAGAAAACATGAATGCTATTAAATATGTGTTAGTAATATCACAACTGTTCTACTAATTTGAAAGTGCAATGGAAATGTCATAGTATTTTTCTGTCTCTTTCTCTTGAACAATTTGCTGTCGCTGCTCTGTAAGTGGCTGCTTGCTTCTGCTTCTCCTCTGGGAACCACCTGGAGAGGAGATGCCAGGCAGCTGTTTTCCAGCAGGTCTGACAGCCTGTGCCTACAGAAACAGTTTTTT